GGCATTGACCGACCGTTGCGACGACCTTCTTCGCGCCGACGACCACTGTCTTTGGGCTTTCTGGCCGTTCGGCAGCGATTCACTCGTCTGGGATGGAGCTCGGTGGTCCAGTCAGAGCGTTTTTGGATGGAAGGCTATGACGGTCCACAGGTTCTATTACCTTCAGAAAGTAGAAGCTGGGCTTCTATACCTGCGACCCGAAGCATCCCGACAGACACAGCTCACATGTCTGAATTGTTGAACTCGGAGCAGGCCACCCAGTAGCGGACGGAGGCGACGCACGGAGCCGATGACTCAAGATGCCGATTCACGATTGTTTCTTTCAGCCTTCGAAGGATGTGCCCTATGTCGATTCAATGCATTGTGCAATTCAATGTGCAATTTGATGCAAGTGTGTTGCAATGTGAAGGTGTAAAGCTGTGCTGCTGTTTTCCCTGTGCATACTAAACTCCTTCTGCAGTGCACCTTCAGCTGCAGAAGGCATCTTTCATGAAGGTCTCCAAGCTGGTCATCCCTTCACGCTCCAGTTTGGCCAAGCGGCCCAAGCATTGACTTCTTCGATGTTGATCCGTTTTTTTCAGGTGAAGCCACGTTTGAAGGCAGGTGGAAGATATTGGTGTTGACAGGTTCGCTTGTGCCAAAGGTTCCCTTTCGATTGAGGATTGGCCGGTCAAAAAGACATTCGGCCACTGAACTTCTTCCTTCCGTGGTTCTTTGTTTGCGCCGTCATCCACGATGACTGAAGACGAGCTTTCTGTAGATTCTGTAGATCCAAAGAATCGATTGGGCAGAATGGTGCTTTGAGAAAAGCAGACCATGGGAAAGGAAGCGCTTTTTCTGCCGTTTTCGAGTATCATGAAGAGGAAGGGTGTACAGATGATGAATTGTTGACCTCCTCCTCGCGGTTTCAAGTCCTACCCTTAAGCCAATGGGTTTGGAGTTGACGAAATAGGGCATATTCTTCTTCCCAAACAGTTGCAGCTAGAATAGAAGCACGTGTGGCCATTGGTCAAGTCTTGTGATGCCATGTCGTTCGGAATCCGAGATGCCCTTGAGACAGTGCCGGTTTGCATCTCTAGTTTCAAGTAAGAAGTTCCACATGTAATTTCAGACTTCAAGAATCTGGCGAAACGCAGACCCAGATATCTCAGATGACCTGGAAAATCAGAGGTCGATGACAGGTAGGTGATCAGAACCCAAATTGCTGTGCATGTGCATGTGCAAGTCGCCTGGATCCGGGGCCCCTCTCCACTCCAAGTGGTTGCCCGGATCCAGGTTTCTTGGACGGCCGTTGGTCGCAGAGCTCTAAGAAGGCCACTCTTCTGTCGCATGTGATCCGCTGCTCGATCCGCAAAGGTAGCTCTTGTTTGTGGCGGAGGGGACGACCTTAAGCCAGACTCCTGTGCGGAGGTGAGGAAGAATGCTTGTCATTGTCCTGCTCACTGGGCCACCCCTGCCTTCCTTCCTCAAGCTTTGCGAATCGAAAGAAGTGTAATAAAATAGAATTCAGTAGTAGCGAGCCCATAAGTCTTTTGAAGTCCCGGACGTAGCATCATCCTTGTTGATCAGCAACTCCTTCGATTGAGATAAAGGTTTCAATAATATACCAAATGAGATAGCAAAGCCAACCGCCAGCCAACCAGCTTTACTGCGCGCATAGTGCAGCTCGTCAGCTTCTCTTCCCGTACACTTGAGCGTTCCGTCACCAGCGTCACCGTGAGGCCACTGAGTGATCAATGCCTTATGCTCACGGCATAAGTGGCCAAGAGATAGGCATCAGATAGGTCAAATCGCTCAATTCTTGCTCATCTTTGGCCCAACGCTAAGAATGGTCAGGTCGGTCAGGTCGGCCCATGCCGGGCTGTGTCGAGACATGAGTGCAAACATCAGGGTGCATGAGTCTTCAGAGACAGACCTGAAGTCCTTGAAGTGATGATTTGACATCAACCCTTCAACAAGCAAGATATCAACACCCTCGGAGACCGCGTTTTGGAAAAACGACCCGTGACGCCCGGACCCTTCTCCAAGCCCCAACGCTGAAGAATCTTCGCACCCGGACCTTTTGGGGCAGGATGGTGCGGTCGTTTTGGACGCCACGACCGGCCCTGTCGGTCCTGCTGGTTGCTCGGTCCCTGGTCGGTCGTGGTGGCTTTTCCACTCAAGTCCCAGTCCGGCTAACTCTGCTGAGCGAAGTCGCTGCCGGCTGACCACAGGCTGTGCGTGTGGTGTGAGTTCGACTCGCTGACTGCTGTTGTGCGAGCACCTCCCAAACCAGCTGGGCTGGTCCTTCGGGCTCCAAGCGCCACGCCACGGCATGGTTGAAAGGGCATGGCCGGGCGCCCCGCCCCGCGTGAGGTGGGGGGCGAGGTTGAAGGTGGTCCTCAGAGGTTTGACATGGTTGGACCTTAGAATTTCACCAGAATCAGTGTCTCGGTGTGAAGGAAGAAGCGTTATATCGATCTATAGCCGGAAGAAGGGAGCAGAGGGAGGAGAGCAGCACTGCTCTGACGCTCTGTCTTAGACTCCTGCTGTTTGCGACACCTGCTTAGGTCTTGTTTAGTGCATCTTTTTATCTCCGGCTCGATGTTGGAACATGCTGTCGCCAAGCGCCGTGCTTAGACTCCTGTGTGAGCCCGACGACCACGCGCTCTGCCACGTGCTGCGCGGTCGTCGTCGGACGTGAGGTTTAGTGTCGTTGAACGTCAAAGGGTTTGGTGCCGCTCCGCCCTCGAAGCGCTGGACTTCCAAAGGCGTTCTTCGCACTTCAGTCATCCCAAAAGGCCCAGTTCTTCGGCCGCCGAACGGCTGGTCCGGGCGCACCCAAGCCGTGTCCCGCGTTCGTCTCCGTCACGGACTGTGCATAGTCAGACTACTCGGCTGAGCCGGCATTGGTCAGAGCCCGGCACCCCAATGAAGGCTCCACCTGATTGAAGCATTGACGTCGAAGTTCTTTGACGCAGTGAAGTGTTGCATCCAAGCTGGCCGGTTCCGGGACTTGTGGTCGTCATGTGTGCAACACACTTGTTGAAGCGGAGTGAGTTTTCCATGCGTCATCGGCGCTTGGAACCCAGAGTCGCTGTAAAGTGTCCATCATATGAAAGGAAGAAGCCTTTCATCAGCAGGAGCTTGTCAACTAGGACACAGAGGAGTTGCCCGTACTGCTCTTTGCGGACTTAGAAGTGTCGAAAAAAAAGCGGTCGCTTTGAATTGGACTCCTCACATCTCGTTTCTGAAAAAGACCGGTCCGCTGAAAACACCGAGCCTGGCAGAGTCGATCTTGGTGAGAGTCGACCCCATCTCCACCATCTCCACCCTCTTGAACCGGAGGACGACCTGTCTCCATCGGTCGGCTGTTTCAAAACCTCGGAGCCATCTTCAGCTCGCCACGAGCCGACCGTAGCTGAGCCCTTCCGGCGAAAAAAGCGCCGTCCCGGCGTCGCGCCCGGCACGTGCCGGGTCAGGCTGAAGGGCAGTGGCAAAGGCTCTCGTAGACCGGTGAGACCGGTGAGGCAGATGAAATGGTCTTTCTTTGTGTCCGGCAGGGCAGACAGCCGTCCGTCCTAAGTCTTAAAACATCCTGCAGCTTAAGCACATTCAATGCCACCAGCCCATGTTTTGCACCAATTCTCGTTTCATCACAAGCCGCAGCTTCAGGACGAGCACGAAGAGCTGCACATGCCAAGCTCCACTTGCGGGCACGTGCCAGTTCCTTACGGCCTCGGAGGGTGTGCCGCACTCGAGTGCCGCGTCGAGTGCCATGCCAAGTACTTCATGTTGGGTTCCGACCTCGGTGTCTGAGTGATGCGCCCTCCGTTGGCCGTACCGCAGCGGTGGCCGCACGGGTGGCCGTGGTCATGACGTGCCGTATGGAGGTCGTGCGCAGGCGCAGCTTCAGCCGTTGAGGTCCAACCCAAAGCGCTTCGGCTGAAGCTCCGACCAACGACCGCGCCTGTCGTTCGGCCGTTTGGTCGTTCCAGGGGTCAAAGGGTTTGGGCTTTTGAGCTACGCATGTGGCTTGATGTACATGCAAAAAGGGCTTCCCAATGACAAGGGCATGTGCAGATGAAGCCTCAGTTTGGCATTCTGTGAAACGAGCGATGTAGCCCAGTGTGGCAAGGTCCAAGTAGCTATGCGTAGGGCCAGCTCTTTCGTTACGCGTGTTTGGAAGTGGAAAATGCCTCGTAAAGCAGAAGCAATCCATTCGTCACGCCTGTGGAGAACTCCACGTTTTCACCCTCGACATGGATTCCGTGCAAGGCTCATTCCACTTTGACCTGCCAAAAAAGACATGTCCAACAGTCGGCGTTGGTGCCATTTGCTTACTTTTGCCTTGAGCACCCGAACGGATGAGCACCCGAATCCCAAGCGATGTGTGAGCCACTCTTAGTTTTGGATGAGGCCTACATAGAGAAGGACTTGACCTTGTAGGCTTGAGCCAAATGTAGCTCCAGTTCTTCCCAAGACATGCACTTCTTGAACAGATAGTAAGAACAAAAGTTGTCGTGATTCCGCAGAACTGCAGAACGTTGTGTGCATTATTGGTCATAACACCTTGAAGATAAATATACTACTGTTTAATGACTTAGGCCAACGTGATGCAAGTGACATACCAATCTGGCTACCCCCAGGGCTAAGTCATGTGCCCTGACATATCGAGCAAAAAAAATGTCTGGGTTGGGAAACCTGGTGTCATAGGACCTGTGGACACCTCCTCGACAAATGTAAAAAAACAGCTAAATATTGCTAGATACCACTGCCTGGCACCCTCATACATATTTCTATGAATATCATGGTTGTGCCCTGATGACATAGGCCTTAAGAGGAAATGCCAATGTTGGATCAATCCTGATGACATAGGCTTTTGGAATTGGCGTGTATGTCCGACAAGTCCTAAGTTACTAGTCAGTAGTATAATAGATCTGGGTGCACCTTGAAGACTTGAAAACTTCCGAAAGGCTTGCTGAAAGGAGAAACATGCTCCATCAGCGGGTCTAAACCAAATGCTCAACCGAATGCTTTTGAAACCTTTTGCCTTCGAGTTTCAGGCCAGGTCCTGCTCGGTTTCATGGATCGACGACTCGTTGTCTTTTTTCGGCGAAGAGCAGTTGGTCAAACAAACTGAAAAGGACGTGGGTGTGGTTTTTGGTGAGGTTTGGTGTCGCAACTGGTCATTCACTCTTGAGACGAGAAACATGCTCCCGTCCTTTGTACGTCCCGATTCCGTCCAAACCCCCGTCGCTTTCACCTGTCCAGGCCAAGCGCGGCTCGCGCCCGGTCGGGGACCGGTCTGTGCCCTGCGGTCGCCAGAGGCGAGCACCGTCGACGAACGAAGCACGGTGGGTCGACCGATGGACCGAAGCACGTTGGACACGACAGCTGTTGAAACAGTCGAAACCGTCGGAACGGATGGGCCTCAGGTGTCGACGTGATGTCCGATGTCGGCGCAAAGCTCGCTGTTTTGGAAGGAAAAAGCGGCGAAGCGGGCCGAGTGAAGGGCTTGAAAAAGGGCTTACTGTGCCTGACGGGTCAACAGGTACAAGTCAGTGTAAACTAGAATTGAAGGGAGATGCAGAGAAACAGGTGAATTGAACAAGCTTAATTAGCACCTTGTACCTTGTAGGATAAAGGAGCAAGCAAATGAGATTGAACAGAGAGAGAGAGAGAGAGAGAGAGAGACAGACAGACAGTGACAGAGCTTTGTTGAGAATCTGTATGCCAGTTTTGTGTCAAACAAGACG